CTCTGGGAAGCTGTCTTGGCCAGGTCTTCAGAGCCTATCCCTATAGAATTTTGAATGAAAAGCCTTTTTTGAGTGTTAGTTTTCTGGACGTGTAGTAAATTAACAGAAGTTTAATACCTAGTGAATTTACCACAGGAAAAAATGTATATGTGACTAAACCTTCAAGTCATGAGCAAGGTCACCTATTCAGCAGGTCTTTCACCTTCGGGGTACCCATTCCCATTGCTTCTGCTGGAGGTCTTTGGGAAGAACAACTGGCAGAGCTGTGCATATTCCCCAGTATGAGGCTGGCCCTCTGGCTGCCACTGTGGCTGGGCCCTGGAAATGACAGTCACTTGGAATCCCATTATCTGCAGCTGAAAGCAGAGTCTCCAAGGAGAGAGGAGGACCAGGACCAGTGTCCAAGCTGTGCTGCCTTTGGTTTTACGAATAACTGTAAAATTGCCGATGGCTCCCAGCAACGCTTAGAAACAAAATTGGATTGCCCCAAGACAAAAGACTGCAGTACAAAGAGCCCATAATTTGTAGTATCTGCCCTTTTGACCCAGAAAGTGCAGTGTTTTGTAAGCCATGCTCTGTGAGTGTTGCCCTCCATTACCGGTTGACACACAGCTGGGCCAGTGAATGCCTCCCTCAGCAGGATGTGTCATTCATCCGTGGTGGACGCTGCTGCATCTCCACCTTTGTCCATCATGCTGGCCCTTGAGGGGCCCGTCATGAATCCTCCTTCATGTTCTGACTCCTCAAGTGTCTTATGTGCTGAGTTAAGCCTTGGGACCAACTCCGTGTCTTCCTCTGAATTACCTGCACAACCAGATGCTTCCACAGCTTCAATCATGCCCAAGCACTGGAAGGATTAAATCATTACAGGGATTACATGTCATCAGTAGCTAAGGAAGAAAATTGAAAACATCACCATCTTTTAAGCTGCAGCAACGTTTGCCCTCAGAAAGTCAGTGATACTATTATTCTTTGGAGCTGCTTAGAAAATAATTTAGCAATTTGGATACCATTTGGAGATGCGATTTGTTTCCTTGGCCCCAAGTAGACCTGTCTCATTCAGGGATATCCTAACAAACTGCAGAAAACTGTAGAATGCCCTGCACAGATGGTGTCTCCTTGTTAGAACCCTTTAAGTTGGTGTGGAGTGTGGCAGGAGGGGAGGCCAACAGTCAGTGGAGCATCACAGGCTGACAATCCTTGTCCTCCAACTGTGAGCACTGCAAATGGTGCCTTCAGAGCTCACTCACCAGTGTCCCACACATGTAATCAGACACTCCCAGTTCACCTGTGTTTCTCCTCATGAATAGTATCTGCCCAGAATAATGGGAAGCTTCAAAGAGCCATTTTTATTATTGTAGTTACTACAGGAATAATGAAACAGAGTTGTTAGAGTTCACGGAGGCAGATAGAATGGTGAATGCCTATTTCAATTGTATCTAAGTTTATTACAAATAGAATGTAATACCATGCTATGATTGGGATGGGGTGGCTGCTGAGGTTAGATTTTCACTCCCCTCCCTGCCCCCTATGGTAGATATAAAAACAAATTTTTATCTCCATGTACAGGCACACCTTATTTTGTACTATCAGGACTGGATGAAATTATTTTGAAATCTTAGGATATTTTAGTATATCACATTTTCTTTGAGCAAGGCATGCCTGTACATTGAGCATCTAGGTAGGAAGCCCATCGACACAAGGCTGTTTGGCCATTAAGGCCTAGCACTCCCCTGGCACTACAGCCGTACTTGACAGACTGGCACCGGGGACCCATTGGTTTAGCAAGTGCTTGCTGTAGGCCTCTGCATGCCAGGCACAGTACCAGGGCTCAGGATACAGTGATGAACGAGCTTGTAGTCTGTGTGAGAAGGCGGGGACCAGACTCACGCTTACAGACCATCACAAGGACAGTTAGCTAAAATTGTAGATGGGGTCATGAAGTGCCTGGTGCCACAGGAGTGCATAACCCCGTCTGGTCTAGGGGCCAGGGCTTCTGGGAGGAAGTGAACTTATGCTGAGACCTAAGGGATAAGTAGATGGCAGTTCCCAGGAAAGGTGGGCAGAAGAGAGGGCCCAAGAAGAATGTTCTGGGCAGAGGAGAAGCCATGAGAGGGCACCACGATGGGAAGAGAATGGTCCAGTGGAGACCTGATGGAAAGCTGGCACTGCTGGGAGCACTGGGGCAGGAAAAGGGCCATGGAGGGCGGCAGGACCTGTCCTAGGGCTGGGCCAGCAACTCGATTCTCAGAGCAGTAGGAACTGTTTTTTAAGCAGTCTTGTATTTTTTTTTAAAACTATCCTGGCTGCTATGTGGAGAATGGAATTGAGAAGGCAAAAGAAGACAGAGGGAGGTTTATTTGCAGTGATTGAGGTGAGGCTGATGATGGCTCAGGCAGTGGAGATGTGGGAAAGTGAACAGATTTGAGAACTAGTCTTGAAGTAGGATTAGCAAGATACAGCAATGGGCTGGACACGAGTGACAGGTGATGCTGAGTCAAGAGTGACTCCCGGGGACTGAGATTCTAGGCCTCGGTCAGTTCTTCTGTCATTCTAGACCTACTCAGTTCTGGGTCAAATTTAAATTGTTCATTCTTTTCAATGGCAAGCCCTAAAATATGGGCTCTGCTTCTTCCATTAGCCAGCAGAATCTTGGATTTGAGTCTGTCATTTTTAAAGTCACGGCGAGGCATCTCATGAAGAGTTCCCACTTCCAAACCAAAGTTCAGATCATAGAAATTAGCGTTCCAGATGAGATACTGACATTGATGCCTGAGTGGATGACTCGGAACTGCCGAGGAGGAGGACATTGGAGGGATTGTGACTGACAGCTCAGGCAGCACTCACGGGTTTTTCTTTCCTTTGACATCGAGGCTGTTTGGCTTTCAAGCATTCTGCTTTGTGAGGGAAGGCCAAGGTTAACAGGGGCTGCTCTCTCTGCAGCGGGCACGCAGTTCTGCACACTTCACTCAGTGAACCTGCCGTGGTCGTAGTTGGCTCCTTTGTTCAGGTCAGTGCCTCATCCCAAGGCCACGTGCTGAGCAGACAGTAGTGGGATCTCTGGAACTGTGGGGTTTCATGTAGAAATGAGTGTCTGGCCCAGTGGCCTGTACAGGAGAGCTGTGGGTACAGCAGAGGATGATCTCAGGGGCAGAAGCCTCCTCTTGTGCTCCTGCTGGAGGGCTGCACCCAGCTCTGCAGAGGAAAGCCCTGTTTGATGGAGACTCAGCTCTGGCGTAAGCTGTAGGCAGGATGTTAGGTGAGGTAGAGGCCTGGCAACTCCACCTTTGTTTCATAGAAATGGGCCTAGCAATGATATCCCTGTCATTTCACCAGCTCCCTACTGTTGGATTTTGAGTTTGTTTCCGGTCTTTTCTGACTACAAACTGCTCTGCAGGGACAAGTTTCACAGCTACCTGTTTTCACACAAAAGTAATAATTTCCCTTTGGTAGATCCCTAGAAATTATATTGCTAGTTCAAAGAGATGATTAGTTCTAAGGCTTCTGACAGGCTTTGCCCAATTGCTGCCTGTGATGAAGTACACCAGGTAACGCTCCCAGCAAAAACTGAACTTCCTGTTTCCTGATAGTCACTGCTTTCTTTTGTCATTTTCCCCCCTAACTGAAATGTCCTCTTGTTTCTCTTTATCCTGGTCCTTTTTAGGAATGTCATTGTTCACTCCCCTTCTTGAGCTTTGTGGGATTTATTTCCCTCTCTGCATTTTCAGCTTGCATTTGGAATGGATCCTGAGGCCTCTTCACCAGAGTGGACCACGGGAAGCTTTCTTGTGTGAATGAAAGTGTGCATCTTAAGTTCCAGTTATGAACTATTCTTAGCTCCAAAGCTAGAATGTAAATACATCACTGATCTTACAAGTAATAAGAGTTATCAGTGTCGCCTGAAGTAGTGACAGCCCAGGTGTGTTATCAACTCCAAAATTGTCCCATCTGCCATCCTACAAATGCTCTACATACTGGAAGCCTTTTGAGAAGTGGTGTTTCCTTTTTGTGGGGGGGGAGAGGGGTGGTTCTCTGTCATAGAAAATTAGGAAAAATGCACTCTGAGGCTCTGTATTTACAAGAACAATTTATAAGTCCTTGGCATTTTTCAGTGCTGCATAAGGCATCTTGAATTACTTTGGTAGTCTTTCCAGAAAGACTATTGACTTCACCACACCATATTTCTCAAGTTACAGTAAAGGCAGAGAATCTGAGGCCCTGGGTGAAGTGGGATGATTGAAACCTGGGGGGGTCAGGGGTGGTAGCAGGGTTTGAGTACAGACTCCAGACTCCCACAGCCTCCATATGGCCCCGTGAGATACATTCTCGGGACACTCCCAAGAAGGATTGGGGGCTCCTCTCAGCTCTGTGAAATGCAGAGGGCTTCCCTCTGGAATTCTGCCCACCTCTTTCTCCTCCTCCCTGCATTGGGAGCTCCAGTTACCATCCATAGGAAACACCTAGCCCACTTCCCAGGTGCCAGGTTTTCCTGTGAGGAAGCAGTTAGTGTCAGGAAAATCTTTCAGGAGTAATTTTGGTCAATCACAGTCTGTTGAGGTTAGGTGGAGTATGGAAAGGGTAGGGTTTGGAATCAGGGGCCCTGGATATGAATCCCTGCTTCATACTTCCTGGCTATGTGACCCACAGGCTTGTTAATCCACCTTTCTTTACCTCTTCCCTCATCAGTTAAGTGTGTGACTACTCTGTGCTGGGCATAACTTGCTGTGTGCCTGGCATGGTGTTAGAGCACACACACTGAGGCCCTGGCACACAGTAGGTGTTCAGTAAGCAGAGGCTTCAGTCCCTGCCCTAGGGCCTCACTGTGGTGATTTGAATGTAGCACTGGAGCCCCCAGAGCTTCTGCCCTCCAGGCTCCACTGGTTTCCTTCTGCATTCTTCTGGGAGGAGTGCATCACTCTGCACCCAGAGCCAGGGAGGGCAGACAGAGAGCAGCCCTTCTTTCAGCTGACTGCCTTGGGATCCTCATTGTTGGGGCAGCAACCAGGGTCTGTGTTTCCTGCAGGTCACCTGGATGTCAGTATGGCAGCCACAAACCTGGAGAACCAGTTGCACAGTGCACAGAAGAACCTCTTGTTTCTTCAGCGTGAGCACGCCAGCACGCTCAAGGGGCTGCACGCCGAGATCAGGCGGCTGCAGCAACACTGCACAGGTACCCCTGCGATGGCAGGGTGGGGAGTGGGGGGATAGGGGTTCCAGGGCCTCTGCCATAGAGCACAGCAGAGCCCATTGTCAGGACAGTGGCAGAGTGGCCAGATCAGAAGCTGGGCCAGGCTCACTCTCCCCCAGCTCCCATACTGATGTGTTCCACGTGTGAATGCCTTTCCTGGCCCCCATTGCATAATCCAAATGCACTGAGCATAAAGCTGCAAAGCCTTTTCTTGACATACTGAGGACTTTAAAAATTAAAATACAGTGGTTGGAACTTACAACACATTTTGGAATCGGTAACCAAAGGTGTAGCCTGTGTAATGTATAGAGCAAGCTACTTGCTAATTTTGGATTATTGGGATGTGTTTTGGGAAAATGGGGAAGGGGGCTCTTTGGGGGAAGGAAGTTCTCCTCTTATCCTTTGCGGGTTCAGTGGCCACTGATATTTGTGCTGTTCTCACACTTGCCTCTAATGCTGCCAAAGCCTGCTCTATCTGCGCAGGACTCACTGGCTAATCATGGGAATCGGTTCTGCATTTTTGGAGTGATGAAGCTTTTGAAATCTACTGCAACAAAATTAATGTATAAAATTTCCTTTTTAGATTTAACGTATGAACTGACACTTAAAACTTCTGAGCAGACAGGTAAGAACTTCTCCCCAAAAGTTAGTGACGACATCATTTCCTTCTGTGGTACACGTTGCTGCTGTTTGTTTTCACTCATTAACACACTTAGAACAAAACACGTTTTCTGTGAAGAGTAGCACACATGGCCAGAGCTCTCTAGGAAAAGATGAGAATGAAGAGTGATTATCAGTGGGTCAGGGGATGAGTTATTTTATTTTCTTTTGATTGACATGTACATTTGGAATGTCTATTATATGCTTTTCTGGATTTTCTGATTTGTCTGCAATGAATGTGTGTTCCTCTTATAATCAAGAAATGAAATTATATATGATTTAAACCTGAAAGAAAGAGGAGGAGCAGGACAGGGCTGAATGGCCCACTCCCCTGTGTCTCTAGAGCTCAGCATAGAGCCTGGCAGAAAGCACGTGCTCTGGAAATGCTGGCCAGGGGAGGGATCACATGACCAGACAGCCTCAAAGGATCCTTGACCATCTTTCTCTGGGCTGCAGTCCCAGAAACACTTCCCCCATCAGAATCTTCAGGGACCTCAGGGAACCCCAAAAACTGTCTGCTGAAGGCAGCTGGAGCAGAAGAGACGAAACCTGGGCCTTCCCAAGGGCCTCTGTGCCTGCTGCAAATGGCCTGCTCCCCAGAACAGGGTGAGGATTTAGAATGTGCAGAATCTGCATTTGAGTCAAGACTCCTTTTCTAAATAGGCTTTACAATGGCAGCTATTATTCATGAGAGTGTCTGATTCCATGTAAACAACATGAGCCATTTCCACTGAGTTTTAGTGTATTACTGAGCACTAATTTTTCCATTTGTGTTACTTGTATTATGTTTTCCTAAGTGCTCCTTTCAGGAGCCAAGACATCTTTTTTGTCTATGTGTGGTAGAGAAGGCACTGTCAGGCTTCATGGGGCCTTGGAACAGCCTACCCTCAGGGTTCTCCCTAGAGAGGAAGGACACCAGGATCCTCCCCCACAACCCCTGTGGTCAGGAGCTGGGCCCCCTCAGGAGAACAGGATTTCCACCTGAAGCTGGGGACCCCCAGCCCTTACCCCTGCCATGACTGAGACCTTTAGGTGTCCATGTCATGAAAACCAGGGCATCCTCACTTTCCATCACCTCTTGGCCAGGCTAATCTGAAGAAGCACAGGTCCTGCATTTTGGCCTCTCCAGTTGAGGGTCTGAACCCTAAGTCCCAAGGCCACCTGACATAGTCCTCTCATCAGCAACAGGATCTTTTGGTAATGATTCGCAAAGGGTGTGTCTTAGAAGGGAAGCCATTTGAAAAGCCTCTCAGGTGGTTCTGGTAAGGGCATCTCCCTTCCCCAGTGGTGAAAATCATTGCTTTACATCATTAGTGCACCCACAATGTGCCAAGTTCTAAGAAGCTGTAGGACACAAGTTAAAAATACAGACTCCTGGATTCCCTCCCCTAGAGCCTGGGATTCCAAAAGTCTGGGAGGGGCCCTGGGAGCCTATGTGCTTAAAAAGTGCTACAGTGGGCCGGCCCGGTGGCGCACTGCTACAGTGCACCGCTTGGGAGCGTGGCGGTGCTCCTGCCGAGGGTTCGGATCCCACATACAGACCGGCCGCTCACTGGCTGAGCAAGGTGCGGGCGCAACACCGAGGGTTGCGATCCCGTTGCCAGTCCCGGTCCGGTACGGGCGCGACACTGAGGGTTGCGATCCGTTGCCAGTCACGAAAAAAGACAAAAAGGGAAAAAAAAAAAAAAAAAAAAGTGCTACAGTGATTTAAGGCTCAGGCAGCCTTGGGAAGAACTGCTTCTGGTGATAAAGAGCATTGCTGCTATGAGCTCAGTGTGCGTATAGCATTCATGGGGAAGACTCAGTTTTCTAGAAAGGGTGTGTGGGAGGAGGTGGTAGAGTGGAGCTTCCTGTAAAGCAAGGAAAACTGGCAAAACAAGAGGTGCTGATTCATAGGAGTGATTGACACCAAAGAGCAGCTTTCTAGAGTCTGGGAATGGAGAATCAGTTGTACCAGCTCCTTCCCTCAGTAGCCCTGCTAAGTCAGGGCCCACAGATGTCCAGAGCCAGGGCTATACCCTGAGAGGAGAGAGCAGCACAACAAGGTTATTGCAAGGAAGAGTGATAAGGATATGTCTGTCCAGTAACAGCCTCTCCTAGGACCATATGGCCAACAAGAGCAGCAGCTTTACTGTTAGCGAGCCCCAGGTTCACAGCTCTGCTCCAACTTGGAGGAGCTGTGCTGCCTTTGGCAAGTTCTTTAAAGTCTCTGAACCTGCATCTTCATTTCACAGGTGCCCCACATGTGCTAGTTCACAGCCTGGCCACCCAGGCCTTCTGCCTTCATGGACTGCTCCCTTAAGCTGCCCTTTATAGGGTACGAGCAAAGCCCAGGGAGAGCCTTGTTCTCAGATGTTCCAGACATCAGTCAGCCCTCTACAGCACTGCCTGGGGAAAGAAAAAGTCCAGGTTGTTCATCTGGGGATGTAGCTGAAAGCCTGAGGCCACAGGCTTTCCTCAGAGGGAGGCTATGGCCACTGTCCACCTGTATGTGGGCTGGAAGCATGGACCCTGCCTCAGACAAGGGGCATTGCGGGGCTGAGCCCATATGGCCAGGCTCCTGGGCTTCACAGATGGCTTTAGAGCCACATGTGTATGTCTCTGTCACTCTCTTTATGTCTGAAACTGCATTTCAGAATCCATTGTTCTTCTCTTTGGTCAAAAGAAAAGCCTCATGAAAATAGCATTGCATTCATCCTTTCTAGGGAGATGACATACATGGACACAGGTTTTTAAAATACATAATTCACCAGCAGTGAGTTTGTAACGTACACGTGCTCTGCACAGCACAAGTGCAGTTGCCCACAGGGCTTGGGGAGCTCAGAGTCTGGCATACAGCATGCTGCAGAATTTGCTGGCTCAGGCAGGTGGGGAACTGCCCAAAGAGGTGAACAGACAGAGGCTCAGGGGAGATGTCTCAGGGGTAGTAGGGTTTGTACAGGGAGGATGGATGTGTAGGTCTGGCGTGAGGTCAAAGATGGAGGTTACAATAAAGACAGATCAAGAGGAGGAGGCTGGGGGTGGGTGGAAGCTTAGGGTCTACGCGGGGGGCAAGTAACGTTGGTGACAGACTGAGGAATTGGAAGGCATCTGGCATTTTGGATGTTATCAGGCAGTGAGGAGCCAGTATTGAACAGGGGAGTAGGGTATTTAGAGGGTAACCAAGCTTCCTACATGCAGGATGGACTGAAGGAAGACCAGAAGGGAGGTGGGAAGCAGGAGCAGGGAGGGACTGGAGAGCAGGCGAGTCACTGACAGAGGCTGTGGGCATGAGCATTGTAAGGGAGGAAGGGCGAAGATGGCCTGTGACATTTCTAGATTCAGTCTAATTGGGAAAATAAAGTGTGGGAAGAGGAGCAGATACTTAAGACTGGAGGGATCTGATGGACCACTACTTATGGAGTAGGTGCTCAGGAGACACTCAGGAGCCGACACTCAAGGTGAGTTCCAGATCAGCAAGGAAGAGTCTGGAAAGGAGTGGACAGCTCACGACTTCCTAGAAACCAGCTGAGGAACAAGGCCAGCCAGGCAGCATGAGGAGAAGCAGGGTGGTAGCACAGGGTCCCAAGCCAAGGGCGCCTAGTACTGTGAGCAAGTGTGAGGTGGAGGCGCTTGGGGCCAGGGCCTGCAGGTCACTAGAGGAGTGGGAGGTCAAGTGGCTACCACTTGCTGAAGGATGAGATTAGGGCAGGCTCCCAAGGGACGGTAGAAGCAGGGAGCAGCCTGTGGTGTTAGGGCAGGTGGGCAGGCAGTGAGAGGCTGAGGACAGCTGGGACAGGAGACAGAGAGGGAGGGAGACCAGTGGTGGAGGAGAGGTGACGGCCTGACCTCCCTTCTCGTCTTAACTTCAGAGTTTTGTGTTTTAGACATGGAGAATTCTTTGTACATTTTGAGTTTCAAAGTAGTGCTTTGAATGTAGCAGGCATGTAAGGAACGCCACCTGAGCAGACAGCTGGATTTTTTAACAGTTTAATCCTAAGTATTTAGTGACGTCCAATACTCTCTGACATTGCCTGTTTTAACATAAGCATTTTTAAAATTTGGAGACATTCTTTTTGCCATAAGCCAGAGAACTAAGAGCTGGAAGGGGCCTCAGAGACCACGTATCTCCCAGCCTTTCGTAAGGGCAGCAAGGCCTTTCCCCAGGATCCCACAGCCCTGCCCTCCATGTGGCCTCTGTGCACCATGTTCCTCATACTCGCCCCACCTGAGAAGGTGACAGCAGCCTAGACAGGGCCCTCTCCTCCTTACGGAAGGTCTGCCTGCCCCACAGGCCTAGTGCCTCTGCCTTAATCTGGTGGGTTCTTCATCTGGTTTCTCGGCTTATTCTCACAGGAGATGGATCTTCTAGAAGCAGTGAACTAAAGAAAAGATGTGAAGAACTGGAAGCTCAACTAAAAGTCAAAGAGAATGAAAATAATGAGTTGCTGAAAGAACTGGAGCAGAAGAACGCAATGATCATGGTGCTGGAGAACACCATCAAGGAGCGAGAGAAGAAGTACCTGGAGGAGCTGAAGGTGAAAAGCCACAAGCTGAACATGCTGTGCAGTGAGCTGGAGCAGCGGGCCGGCACTGTCACCTACCTGACTGCGCAGCTGCATGCTGCCAAGAAGAAGCTTGTCAGCTCCAGTGGCACCGTGGACGCCAGCCCCTCGGGGAGCCCCGTGCTGGCCAGCTACAAGCCAGCCCCCCCTAAAGACAAGCTGCCCGAAACGCCTCGCCGTCGCATGAAAAAGAGCCTCTCTGCACCCCTGCACCCAGAATTCGAAGAGGTCTACAGATTTGGGGCCGAGAGCCGGAAACTGCTTTTGCGTGAACCAGTGGATGCCATGCCTGACCCCACCCCATTTCTGCTGGCCAGGGAGTCTGCCGAGGTCCACCTCATCAAAGAGAGGCCCCTCGTCATCCCCCCCATTGCTTCTGACCGCAGCGCCAGTGAGCAGCACAGCCCAGCCCGCGAGAAGCAGCACAGGGCCCACGTTGGGGTGGCTCATCGGATCCACCACGTGACCCCGCCGCAGGCCCAGCCTGAGGTGGAGACACTGGCAGTCGACCAGGTGCACGGAGGTAAAGTGGTGAGGAAGCACTCAGGGACGGACAGAACTGTGTGAGGCCTGCGGGCCACCGCCACCCTCCTCCTGCGATGCACTGTGACCACTACTAGGAAAACTCATCCACACCTTTTTTTTTTAATTCCCATGCATGCCAAATTTTTTTCAGACCTATCAACTGATTCTTCTCCTCCTGCTCCTCTTGCCCTCTTACTGACACCAAATTATGATCGTGCTCCTGCTGCAGAAAACGTATTTACTAATTGCTGTGGCAAAACACCTGTGTGTCCAACCGCTTGCTTCTAATCCCACTCTGTGTAATCTAAGTGCGCTCGTGGGCAAAGCACAGGACACAGGCTGCATCGCTACTCAGTCACACGCCTAATTATGTCGGAGCAACACATATCAACCTTGACCTATCTCCCCAGTTTCCAGGGCAGCCTATCGGAGCAACCCCACTCCCTCCTGGAGACTCTTGTAACCTCCTGACAAACCTTTCCCAGGGTGGCACCGATCACCGAGCAGCTGTATGTGTATGTCACAAGGAACTAAATAAGATAACGTTATTCCTCTATAGCACCACAACCTGAATGTGTGTTCATATTTTTTTTAGTTTTATCCAAAATGTTCAAGATCCCAACAAACTTTATTTTCTAAACCGGCCTTCTTTCTGTTTTGTGTCTTTTATTAAACCACCTGAGGGAGGGATGGGAGGAGATTTTGGGAGGGAGAGGAGCAGGTCCCCAGCGGTAACTCATGCTTTCTCACTGCCGGAGCTGTTCCTTAGAATGTTCTGAGGTTCTGGCAAAAGCTACTTTTGCCTGTGACTGGCCTCTGCCCTTCTGTCCTTCTGGTGCTCAGCCCTGCCATCCCTCATGGAGTACAGCCACTCCTTACCCCCAGAAGGGCCAGCCTTGTGGTGTGCAGAGGGAAGAGAGGCCCAGTGGCTACTGGTCCCAGAGGTTCTAAGTCTGTGCCCGACCCCACACAGACCCAGGCAGGTTGGGGGTAGGAGCTCACATAGGAACAAAGCACTAAGCTCAACAGCCTCATGGGCATCCTGGCAGGCCAGAGCCAGAGGAGCTGGGGCCAGAGAGTTCTGGAAGGGGGAGAAGTGGCTATAGGTGAGTGACTCTGGCCACCTCTACTCTGTGCCCCACATCATCAGCCCAGCCTGCCACCAGCTCATGTTGGGTGTAGGGGCAGGGAGGGGTTACTCTGCCTGACCCCGCTCAGAAGCAGCCTCAGCCTTCCAAGCAGACAAGCTCTTGCCAAAAAGGGGCATCTGCTGAAACAGAGCTGGAGTATCAGAAACACACCGTTGGAAATTTACATTAGGATTCTCACCTGTGCCCGTGACATGCCAGGCACTTTTGCTTAATAGTGTTTCCTCTGAGAACAAAAAGAAAATGCAACACATCTTAAAATGCTCTCTATTATTTACTTTTTAGTTGAATACACAGAGTCCTAAAAAAGGTGATTTAAAAACAAAACCATTCAGGTTAATTTGTAAGGAAAGAGATTTAAATGGCTGATATCAAATGAAAGTCAGTGTTAATCCCCCTCCTGCATCTTGAGAGGCCCAAAGAAATGACAGCAGACTTGATCGTTCTTCACAAGTCCCCAGAGTATCCATCACCAGCCAGACGTAGAATCCGTTAACCAGTTTTCTTGGCCCAAGGGTTAATCAGAATTCAGGGTGAGGCATACCCCTTGCAGCACCCAGTGAGAAATGTGCTTTGTAGTAAATAGATCAGCTTCAAAAACCAAGCCAACTCCCATGGCGTTCCTTCTCATGGAGGTGGTATAGACAGGTGTCCGGAAGGTGTTCTGCAAGGGAAAGGCAAGTGAGACACCCCCAGGGACAGAGGAGAAAGCTGATTAACATGCAAGGGGTGACAGCTTAATCTAAGTGCCCAGAGTGCACAGCTGTGTCTGAGAACACGCACGTGGCTGAGGCTCTGCAGAACCATCCCCCGCAACTTAACAGAGACTGGGATTCACACAGACACCCTCGTTAAAAGTGGATCCTGGCCAAGGCAGAGTAGAAGGTGCCTGCTGTCCACACGAGATATAACTACTTTATGATTCAAGTAATGCCCGCAGAATTTCACAAGAAGGGAGGGAGTCTCTCTTTTGCCTGGACCATGGGATCTAAACTTGAACCTGATACCTGTGGAATGATCCACATCCACACGTATGTGCATTCGTGCATTTTCCCAGGAAGTGGCTCCAGAGCTTTCATCATGTGTCCAAGGCTTCCCCAACCCATAGAGGTTAAGTGCCCCATTTTAAAAGGCGTGGTGACTATTGGAAACCATGTCATCTATAACTGTAGTGGGAAGAAAAAGGGCCCCAGTACCAGCAGAGAGGGAATTGGTCTCCACCTGCAGTTTGAGGCGATGGGCTTCAATGGGGATGATCTTCAGAATCGGCAGGTCCACAACCAGCACCTTGGGTTTGCTCTTGACAAGACATCCTCTCTCTATATCCCAGTCAGCACCTTCCAGGTAGAGTCCTGAGACAAAGCATCCTAGAGATACCAGGAAGAGACCAGATATACACAGAGGCATGTGCAGTCCTGCTCTGTAACAGCTCTATCTGGGGTACGCACAGAACTACACAGAAATGACTGGCTTTCCTCCCCAGATGCACCCAGGACACAGTGCAGGCCTTTCTCATCATTTCTGTCCTGCCCACCTTCCTTTTTTAGAGGAACAACTCAGGAGATACTGCAGACCCCAAGAACCTCCCCATGGCCCCAGAGAAGTGGGTGAGAGGCGTTGCCTTCCCCCAGCTGGGCCTATCGGACCCTCTCCCCAGGAATGTGGCATCAAGGCACACAGACTTGGACAACATCAGGCCCTTAGGCTATACAGATGGGTAGCACCAGGGTGGAGTTGGTGCCATGGCAATCCCAACTCCCCCATGAGTCACAGTGGTGGGGGCAGGAACAAGAAGCCTCGCAGAGAAAGTGGCCTCTGGGAAAGACGGCCAGGCAGACATGCAGAGAGTAGCAGAGAAGAGGACAATCACTTGCCCCAGAGAGAGTAACAGCCCAGACACTTGCCAGTTTCTCAGAGTCCTAGCTGGACTTCTGCAGCTGGGACCTACCTGTGAGAGTCCCTGAATCTTTGCCATAAATCCCCTCTCCTTAAGCTAGCTCAGGAGGGCTTTTGTCCTTGCAGTTAAATGGCCTCTGACTAAGACAACATGGCCCGAGGGGAAACATCATTTGCAGCTATCATTTGCATAGTCAGTAATCGTGTCTAAGGGACCTAAAGTTATAGCTTCATTTAATGGTTCCAACCAAGTCCACACTGCTCTCTGGCTTCCATGCCCCTGACCCCTCAAGGCATACAGGGAAGCCACCTGGCAACCTAATTCTTTGCAAGAGCTAATTTTAACCTAGGAGCGCATTTTCGATGAACTAGTAGGGTGGACATGACTCAGGTCTCCCCCTGACATCAACCCCAGCTGGTCTCAGCGGAGGAGCTTGAGGACAAACCTATGCATTCACCCTCAGAGATGTCCAGACATAGGTGGTGAACAAACACAGTTACATGGCCTGGCCCACCTTGGTCCACACTATACTTATCCCTTTGAACTGGGGATGGCTCAGGGAGAGAAATCCTAAATGAGAGGCTATGGATGCACACCAAATTGACTGTACCTTGTCCTGCCCGCTCATTCACTTCGTCTGCATCTTGGAACTTGGTCACTTGTGTGAACAAGGTGGAACGGTCCAGTGGCCAGCCATTCCTCCGACAGGTGGCCTGCACCAGGGCCGTGAGGTAAGATTCTGGGATGTGTAGCCCCGAGAGCCACATCACACTGGGCTCACCCTCAGTGACCTGTAGAGAAGGTAGGGCATATGGTGGGAGCCAGGGGCTGCCATCAAGGCCAGGATTAAGGCTGACCATAGAAGCTCGGTGTGTGATAAAGTCATATTTCACCTCAGTGGCAAAAAGATAGTCATAGAACAATTGGCAGCCCATTTGCAAAATTCCAAATTTGGCACTGTCATATTCCAGATGGAGCAAAGGATTAAAGATAAAAATGAAACCACAAAAGTACCAGAACAAGTCTCCAGTGAATGTTTTCATAATCTTGGAGTAGGGACTACAAAGCCCAGAAGCCATAAAAGAAAAGACTGATTCATTTGACTACATAAAAATTTAAAACTTTTCTATGGAAAAATACCATAAGCAAAGTCAAAAGATATTTATGACAAGCAGGGAAAAATATTTGCAATACCGGCAGACATAGGGCTAATTTTTCTGATATACGAAGAGCTCTTAAAAATCAATGAAAGAGATGGAGATGTCAATAAAAATGAAATCAAGATACAAAAAGACAATTCACAGAAAAAGAAATACAAAATGTCTATTAGCATGTAAAATACACTCAGCCTGCCCATAATTTAAAAAAAGCAAAGCAAAACGATTAGGCATTATTTTCACCTATCAGGTGTTATTTTTCACCTATCAGGAAAATATTAAGAATACACAGGTTTGCAAAGAGGTGAGGAAATAATCACTCTCATATATTGTGGTTCAACTTCTCTAGAGAACTCTGATAGAGCTATCAAAATTTAAAATGCACACACTCTGATCCAACTCTTCATTCTCATGGGTTGGAATTTAGCCATGGAATATACTCATATATATAGACATGTGCACCAGAATGTTCTTTGTACTAGCAAAAAAGTATATGGTAACCACATAAATGCCCATCAATAGGAGAAAAGATATGGAATATTTGTAAAACGGAATGCTCTAAGAAGAATGAGATCCATATGTGCCAATAAGGAACAGTTGCCAAGATATACTCTTAGATAAAATAAAGTATGTATACCATTCTTCAAAGTCTTAAAAACAAAAAAGAAAGGAAGGAAAAGAAAGAAAGAAAGAATCACAATAATACATTAAATTTTCAAATATAAGAGAACAGATCTGTGGTTATTAGAGGTGGGAAAGGGGGAGAGGGGAAGGGAGTCGGCTGGTGAGAAACTAGTAAAGGGTCACAAAGATTAAGTTTTGTAAACATGAGTATACTAATTATACTGATTTGATCACCACATATTGTACACATCTTGATATTCGATTCTGTACCCCACAAAGATATATAATCAATAAAAAAAAGATATGGGTATGCTTGTAGAATCTGGGAACATTTTTAGAGCAACCAATAAACTTTAACAGAGGTTAAATAAACTTTAACTGGGGAATGGGTACAGGGGGTTGGGAGGTGGGCTGAGGGAGTCCAGGCTGACCCTTGAACTGCAAAGAGACTGCTGCCCATCACTTACCCACAACGTGTACTGGCTGAATCGTCGCAGGAAGTAGACCATCCAGTGTCCAAGGGACTTTAAGGTGTCAGGGGCAAGCTTTCTCCAGATGTTAGGGATATGCCCAATAAAAAGAGACTTGGCGACATCATCTAACTCACTGCTCATTCCAACTTCTCCAGCCAAGGCCTGTTTCCAGAAGCAAGAGCAATCAGGCAAGACTATGTCGGAAACCCATCTGATACAGTGCTCCATCTGGCAGTATCTGCACGTTAGAAACATGCTCACCCTTTGAAGTTCAGCCAGAGACCTGGTCATCCGTATCACAAGCTTGTTGAAGCGTTCTAGCTCCTGCAAGAGCACCACTGAAGTA